GCTCCCCTGGCTCTCATTTCTCCCTGCCTCCGTCCACCTGCCCCTTTTCTGTGGCCATCCTCTTTCTGTTTTCTTTGGACAAATGATAGTCTGGGTGTGACTGGCAGCGATAATGGTCAACAAATGTTTGAAGGAAGAGGGAGAAAAATTGTTCCCAGGGGAGATTCAAAAGGGAGAGTGAAAGGATGGCTATGAGTTGCACTATGAGGCTGGGATAGGGATAAGATGGGAAGATGATGAAGATGATGCTGTCATTCTGAGCATATGATAAATCCCCTCTCAATGGGTAAGGGATATGGGAATAAGCATCTTTCTCATCCTGATGTCTACTTGGAAGAAGGATGGGCTCTACCTGTGCTAGAACTGGAGAGGCAGAGATTATAGAACTGTAGAATTGTTAAGGTTGACTGCTAAGATCATCCAGTCCAAATATCAGCCCACCCCCACCATGCCCACTAAAACATGTCCCACAGTGCCATATCTACACGTTTCTAGCACACTCCAGGAATGGTGACTCCTCCACCTCCCTGGGCAGCCTGTGCCAATGCCCGACCACACCTTCAGAGAAGAAATCTTTCCTAATATCCAAATTGAAAGTGGGTTGGAAGTGGGGTTGAACTGCAACAGAGGGACACAAAAGAGGGAATGGTAGGAGTATCCAACAGAATGTAGATATTACAAGAAAGGGTCAAAATTTGCGTGGAGTAACTCTAGAAAACACCCAGAAACTCGCCTGGAATGGATGATCTAGTAGTTGAACCCAGATGTTAGCATGGACTGGAGATACACCTATGTGAAGGAGTACTGGGAATAAAGCTGGCATAGGGGACACTGAGCTCCTGCAGGTTCTATGGCTCATGCCTATCACTGAGTTTGGTTCCATTTACAGAAATAATGTACTAAGAAATCAGTCCCCCAAAAATACACCTGCAAGCACTGATGGGGAGGGAAGGGACTGCTAAAAGTCCTGAAGCAAACGAGTGGCAGAGGAGAGAGGGTGCCTTGCACTGTGCTGCTCTGCATCTGCACACCACTGGTGTCTCATATAAACCAAAGCACAAACCCCAAGACCCCAAACGCACCCTGGAACAAGGAAAAACTGACAAAGGATTGGTTGAATCCCCTTAAGGATCATTGGAAATTGTTTTCAGAGAGACCTGAACTGAAGGGCAAGGCAGTAGCTGGTGAGCAAATGCAAAACTCTGCTTTTCCCTGTGAAAGCCGCCTTCTCTTGTAGGATTTTTTTTATTGTTTTTTTCCTGTCATAACATTTCTGTCTCATTTTGGGTTAACATGACCCTTCCCGGAGCTGCTAACTGATGACAACACAGCAACCCCGACAGCCATCAACTAACCCAAAAACTGCTCTGTGAGGCAGAGCTGATCCCATCCCTCCCTGCCATGTCATGAGAGCTAACACAAAGCCCTGGGACCAGCATCAAAACAGCTCCCAGTCAATTTTCCCACCCTCCAGAACCATCAGAAAGCCATCAGCGGGCACAGCTCCGCGGAGAGATCAATTCTTCCCAAACCCGAGAAACGGGATGGAAGGGCCGGTGGTGAAAAAGCAAGCCGGAGGAAGGAGCTTTTCTCCTTTCATCCTCCCCGCCCCCCCTCCTCGGGGCTCTCGCAGGGTCTCGCCCCGCTGTCGGGTTTTGCAGGGCGGCCGCTGCAGATGGCGCTGCAATGTAGGATTTAGCGGAGCCGCACGAGCGTTCGGGAGGGAGAGGGAGCAGCTCCGGCTTTTAGCAACTTAAAACACCGGCTGCATTTAACAAACTTGTAAAATGGCGGGGGGGAAAAAAGGGAAAAAAACAACAAAGCAAGCCGAAACAACAGCAACAGCTTCATACAGCCTCCCTTCGTTTATTTGTTTTTCAGTTTTTTTTTTTTGTTGTTTTTTTGTTTTTTTTTTTTTTGGAGGGGAGGTTGGTGCTTGGGAGGCAGTGGGAGACCCAAGAGGTGCTGTGGGGCTGAGAGATGGGTGCATGTGTGGGTGTGCTTGGCTGTGTGAAGACAAGTTGATTGGGGGCTTGGAGCTTTGTGATCCTCGAGGTCCCTTCCAACCCGAGCCATGCTGTTATTCAGTGATTTTGCCTCTTCCCAGATGATGCTGAGCCCTTTGGAGCTGAGCCCCGTTAGGGTTTCACCCATGATCTTTGCTGTCACCACACTGATGGGTGAAACATCACACGATGACAATGGGGTGAGCCCAGGCTCTTCTTGTCCTCAAGTCCTTTTTTTGCAGCTATTCACAGGTCAGGGGAGGTCATTTGGGTTTTCCAGCCATAACCCACTGCCTAGTTCACTAAAAGGCCTATAAATAAAGTCTCATTTGTCACTCCTTTATGAACCCGGGGGTACACTGACTCGTGTCATTGTCTTAAGAAGCAGAAAGAATTTGTATTAATTTCTTCCTCCTTGCCAGATAGTGGGAAATAATCTCAGCGTATCCAGATTATCCCTTTTCAGCAGAACAGCCGGGTTTTAAATGCAAGACCAAATTTCCCAGAGATTTTCATATGTTTTATTAAATAGAGCTGCAAGCCAGACTGGACATTAAATAATACCGTACCGCTCACAACAGCAGTGATCTTTAGAGGTTACCAACCTGCCATTGTATCTTTCAGATTTCCGTCTCGCTCTTCCGTTGTCATTTTGCTGTGTTATTACTCTTCAGGCTTCACATAGCATTCATTTCTCTGAATGAAAACAAATGACTCCTTGCAAGAGGCAGGAGATAAAGAATAATAAATACATTTTATGCACCACCTTTAAAAAAAAAAGAAAAGGGCTCTGAATCCCCATCCATCCATCAGGAAACGTAAAGCAGAGCTCAGGCAAAACACACACGCGCGCACAGAGGCACGCGCCGGGGAGATAAAACTTAGTTTAAAGGAAAACATGATCTTGCTTCAAAATAAATATCTCGGAGGATGCAAATAGACAGCCCCCAGCCCCCGTGTTCGGTGGCATAAATTTAAGATAATTAAAAGTACAAAGCATGGATTAGCCTTTATTTCCTGTCAATAGTTGAGGCTGTGGGGAGGAGGGGGGTCCTGGTGCTGTACGATGTATTTCCAAGAGGCATTGCCTCTGAGAGTGGGAATTGCTTAGAATCTCTTCAGCACCCATCCCTAGGTCCTGCTGGGAGGGTGGGAGTCAGCAGCAGGAGAATCTCCCCCCCCCCCTCAAGGTATCCCAGTGTGAGCATAGCCAACACTCTGCAAGCAGAGGTCTCCCCACTGGATCCCTTTGACCCAAGCCCAAAATCCTGCAGGCAGAGGTCTCCCAATTGAGTCCCTTTACCCCTGCCCATCTTCTTGGTATTTGGCTACAGACCCCAGAGCTCTGCAAGCAGAGGTTTCCCAGTTGCTTTCCATTGCTCCCATCCTTCCCTGCCTGCCCTCGTGGCTTCTGGGCTCTGCGGGGAGGCAGCCCTGTTGCTGTGCTATAGCAACACCTTGAGAGCATTGCTTCCCTTGGCGCCTGCTGCTCGCTCTGCTTTCCGAGAGCCCTGGTATTATTTGCAGAGTGGAGTCTGGGTGTTGAGCTCACCATCCGGGATCTGCTCCATGGGTCAGCCTGATCAGCGACACCAGGATGCAAAACTCCATCGGTAAGAACTAACAGCTATCAAAAAACATTGTTATTCCTGCAGCTGCCAGGAACTGAATGAAGAACCGGAGAGCAGAGCAGTTCTCATCCTCTCTTCAGGATTACTGCTCACCCAAGCTGAGAAACTGATCTTCCTCTGAGGCTCCCTACACCCGCTCTGATCGTTTTGTCCCGACCAGATGAGAGCAGCAGTGCACGGGGTGGGGAGGGAAGGGAGAGGCAGATGCCAACCGGAGCCGCGATGCTGGGATGGGTTTTTTTTTGAGCGGGGGAGGGGGGTGGAGGAGCCAAGAGATGCGTTTGATTCCCTGCTTTATTTATTTATTTATTTATTTATTTGCTGGGGAGGAGGGTGGGCAGCCACATTTCCCAATTAGCCCAATCAAACTGGAGATCCTAGGTGTCAGTAGTGAGTAGGAGTGAGGGAAGGCACCGGGAGAAATCAAGGAAGCCCGAATGCTGCTGTAGGAGAGCGGCGGCAGCGCTCGCAGCCCCATCCCCGTCCTCATCCCCGTCCCCTGCAAACTTCGGGACGAGGCAAAGCGGCTTCAGATCCCAATTCTCCAGTGGAGACGGCCAGTTTCGCTTTCTCCCCTCTCCCAGAGGTGGGTGGGCTCGGTGAAAGGAGGAGCGAGCGGCCACAGAAAAAAAAAAAAAAAAAAAAAAGAGAAAGAAAGAAAAATAGAGAGAGAGATAGAGAGAACAATCATATAAAGGGATTTGTAAAAAAATATTGTTATTATCAATCCCTGTGCTGGCGTTGCCTCCCTTCCACACCTCTCCGGCTTTATTATTATTATTAATATATATATATGGTTTTTGGTTGGTTTTTTTTTTTTTTTTTCGGAAGAGGGGTGTGTGTGCGTGTGTGCGGCTGTTTGCAAAAGAGCCTCGGGTGTCAAAGCCCGCTCCTCAGCCACCATTGGAGAGGAGGAGGGCTGGGGAGGGAGGAAGGGCTGGCGAGACAGCCGCAGTGCGAGCCCTCCCCGGCGGGCGGACAGCGGTGCGGCGGCCGCGGAGCGTGGAGCGGAGCCGGGTATGGCCCCGTAGCGCATCCCCCGCCCGCTCTGCTCGGCTGCTCGTCCTCCTCCCCCCG